TTTTTGATTTAAAATATTTTTACAAATAATAAAAAATAAAAATGAATGATGATGAAATTAATGAAATATCTGAATTTCAAAAAGAATTTAAACTTTTTGAAGAAATATTAAAATTTGAATTTGAAGAATCAGATTCTGAAGATGACACTTATTATACATCTGATGAAGCTACTTATTTTACATCTGATGATGAAGATGAAGTTAAAGAAAAACCTATAGTTCCAATTCCTTTAAAAACAGTTCAAATCATGGAACTGCATAAAGATAAGCTGAAATGGATTAATTATGTTCCAACTTATAATGTTATTAATGATGATTATCCTGCTATAGATAGTTTCTTAACAAAAAAACATTACAAAAAAAGAAAATTTAGTTTTGAAAAACCATTTAATGTTGATATTAATTTTACTGAAGATGGAAAACCTTCAACAATTCATTTTGTAGAGAAACTACCCATTTTTTGTAAAAATATTTTAAATGATAATTATTGTCCTTTTGGAAGAAAATGTAAATACAATCATGATATTCCTTATTGTAATACTGTAAAGGAAAGACTGATATGTACTAAATCTTCATGTCAATATAGACATTTATCTCTATGTTCTGAATACCCTAAATGTAAAAATAAAGAGTGTGTTTTATTTCATCCAAAAAAGTCAGAATTATCTAAATTAAGAAAAGCTAAAACTAAATTATGTAAATATATTCTTGATAAAAAAGAATGTAAAAATATAAATTGCAAATATGCTCATTCTTTTAAAGAAATTGAAGAAAATGTAGAAATTTGTCATTATACTCCATGTAAATTAGTAGAGAGTAAATTAAAGAAAAATAAAAAAGGAGAAAAAACATTAATATATAAAAATAATGATAATAAAAAGTGTAATTTTTTACATCAAGGTGAAAGCATTTTAAATTATATTGCAAGAACTTTAAAAACAAAATAGATATGAGGATTACAGAGTGATTTAAAAAAAATCTTTACATTTATAAAATGTATAATAGTAGAATGTTTTTATATTATGAAAAGAATGAACAATATAGAATAAATTTTTATATTAATTCAGATTTAGAACATAGAGCAATAAATGATAGACATATTAAAGTATTCGCACAAGAAGATTTTACAGTAAAATCAAATTCATATAATAACATTTCTTTAATGTGTGGTGTTGAAATAGATAAAGGACATATAGTGATTTCAATTGCAGAAAATTATAAACCAGAACTAAATTTACTAAATTCTATTGTAACAGAGTCCACTGACGATATTAAAATAACTGTATATAATAACAATAAAAAAGATATAAACATTAAAAAAGGAGATTTGTTATGTTGTATATCAACTTATAATGGTGTTTTAAATGCAAATTATATATCACATAGAGATGCTTTAGAACATGTTAAAGAAGAACAAGTTAGACAACAAAATGACTCAGGAACTAAACAGAAAAGTGATAAAGAATCTGTAAAATCTTTATTATCAAGTATAGAAGAAGTAATTAAAGATAAACCTAGTATAGATAAATCTGATGAAGATATATTTAATTTTGGTAAAAAGTGATTTAGCGAAGCATTGATAACAAAAGTGATTTAAAACAAATTTTTCTTTATAGAAAAAAGAAATGCTATGTAATAATGGATATAATAATGAATATAATAATGAATGTAAGCAGCTTTATCCAGATCTAAACCAGTTTTCAGAAAATCCATCTGCACCACCACAATCTATAGATCATAACTTTAGATTACAAAAGATTAGTGAAATTCAAGATAAAATAGAATGTGAAAGGAAAAGAAGAGAGATTTTAAGTAAAAAATATCACAGAGCTGTAAGAATCATTTCAGCAGTTGATAATACATTACTAGCAACTACTATGACATTAGGAGCTGTTGGTATTGGTTTTTTAACAACAATAGTTGGTACACCAGTAGCTATTGCATGTGAAGGTGCAGCATTAGGTATGGGTGTATTATCACTAATAGGATCACAAGCTAATAAAAAATTTACAATAAAAGCAGAAAAGCATGAAAAGATTAAAGTACTAGCTGATGCAAAACTAAATACAATAAGTAGTCTTATTTCTAAAGCTATATCAGATCAATATATTGATGATGCAGAATTTAATATGATACTTTCAGAACTTGAAAAGTTTCAAACTATGACTGAACAAATTAGAACAAAATCTAAGAATGATATAGATGAACAGACTAAAGAGTCATTCATTAATCAAGGTAAAGAGAAAGCAATGAAAGAAACTATGGAATTGCTAAATATGAGATTTAACAAAAATCAGAATATAGAAGTGATGAATAATACTCTTAATAAATAAAAAAAACATATATTATGTATTATTTGAACATATATTATGTATTTACTTGAACATATATTATGTATTACTAACATAATATATGTTGATTTAATCCCTTTAGGGATCTAGGGATCACATTGTGATTTAAAAAAATTATTACATATATAAAAATGTATGCAAAAGCTACAGATATTGATGCAAGATTAAAAATAGCAAAAGAACTTGCTAGTTTAAAGAAAAGTATATATCAAAATGATGTAAATGAAAAGTTGGGCTATGATACTTTACAGACTAACTTGGAAAAGTTGTACAAACCAATAATTGATAGTCAATCTGGAATAAAAGAAGGTATATCTAAATTAGAAAATAAAGCTGATCAAATAGCAAATACTTTTTCAAATTATCCTGCTTTACTAGATTCTGAAACTAAAGCAATCATGTCACCTGAAGTTGTAGATAACATGAGATTAGGACCTATCGCAGCAGAATATCTAAAGTTATATACTGCTAAAAATAGTAAAAAAGTATCAGATGATATATTTGGTATACATTACAATGAAAGTGATAAAAAATTTTACATTGGTAAAAAACCAATAACTATTGAAGGTGATGATATAACCATTGAAGGTAAAAAATACATTGGTACACAAGGCCTTTGGGAGATTATAGTAAAATCTCATCCTGTTAGATATAATAACGATGATCGTAATAAGTATAAAGAAATTTTAAATCAAACAGATGCAATTCGCTCTGAGTTAAATTTAGCTAAACCAAGATCATCTAGAGGTTATAAGTACACTAATATAATAAAACCTATTTGGGAGGATATGATTGGAAAGTCTGGAAAAGGAGTTGTTATTCTTCCTAGTGATCCAAATGCACTATTTGATATGCTTAAATTACGCTTAGCTGGTTTACATGCAGGAAATACTGGAACAAGGAATGAGATTGTTGCTATTTGTGATGAGTTGTTACGACAAGGTCAAATAGATGATAATGAGTATAAAGCATTACAGAAAGCAATAATCACAAAGTGATTTAAAAAATTATTTTATATATAAAATGACAAAATACTATTATACTAATATCAATCTGTCAGATAGTCAGAATGAAAAAATTAAAAACGCAATTGAATCTGATACTAATGTTAGTATAAAACTATCATATGAAGATTTAAATGGTGAACACAAATTAGCGTTAACAGACTCACAAATAAACAGAATGGCAGCAGCCTATTCAAAAAATAAAGGTATAACACTTTTACTGAGTAGAGCACAACTTAAATATAATGTTAAAAAAAGTGGTAAAAAAGGTAATAAAAGTGCTGGAAATGCTAATAAAAGTGGTGGAAATGATAATAAAATTGCTGGAAATGATAATAAAATTGCTGGAAATGATAATAAAATTGATGGAAAAGGTATTATTTATGGAAAAAAGGATGGTTATGGATTTAAAATTAGAAAAGTAGGAAAAGGAGTATTTTTAAGCCCATGGAATAGTGGATATAATTATTCAGACGGATATTATTTAAAAAATGGAAATGATTATACATCAATAGGTAAAGAATTGTTATTAGGAGATAATTCTCCAATTAAGAGAGGTGGATTTTTACCTCTTCTAGCATTACTTGGAACAGCTATTGCAAGTGCTGCTCCAATAATTGCAAAGACTGCTGCAACAGCAGCAATAGCAGGAGCAGCAGGGGCAGCTGGAAATGCTATAGTTAATAAAATTGCTGGAAAAGGTATTATTTATGGAAAAAAGAATGGTTATGGAATTAAAATTATAAAAGCAGGAAAAGGAGTATTTTTAAACCCATGGAATAGTGGATATAATTATTTAGACGGATATTATTTAAAAAATGGAAATGATTATTCATCAGTAGGTAAAGGATTGTTACTAGGAAATAATTCTCCATTTAAGAAAATACACTTTTTAGGTTCTCTTCTTTAGGAACTTGATCTTCATAAAAATATATATTTTTTTAAAAAATATATATTTATTGTTTCCACAAAGAAGTTGGATAATAAAATAAATCTAATCCACTTCTATACTTTCCATTTAATAAATCAGAAGACAAATCTATAGCAACAAATCCATGCTTTTTTGACCAAGCTTCATTACAAAACTTTTTAAACTCATCTAATTTCATATCATTTGAAACATGATCATTATAAATATGATTTACATTTTTAGAATCTTGTTTAAACAAGCAAATAAAATTTGCATTTTCTCGTATCGTTCTCCTGGGCAACTCAAAATAATTTTGTGCCAAGTAGAAACAATCTACATTGCTATGTCTTCCTCTTATATAGTACTTTTCACACTTGTTTTGTTTTGTTAATTGTAAATCATCAAATATCATTAAATTATTTTTAATACAGTTAAGACTTTCAGGTTCTGGTACATCCTCTGCTGTTTCATAAAACTGACATTCTATATCTGTTTTATCTTTTAAATTTCTTGAAATGTCTTTAATAACAAACTCTGGATTTACATTGTTTTTATTTATTTGATCTTGCAACTCAAATAGTTTAAGAATAACTTCTTTTGGTAATTTATTTTCAAAAGAATTTTTTAATATTTTGTATTCAGGTTGAAAAAGAGATTTTCCAAAAACTTGTAAATTATTATAGTCTAACCAACCAGGCCTTAATAGCAAGTTTAATAATAATGTTGTTTTTCCACAACCTGATTTTCCAACAATAATCCCTCTTATACTTTTAGGCAATAACTCATTATTTTGACGTTTACTTTTATTTACATTCCATGATAAATCTATAATTTCCATTTTTTATTTATGAAAAGTATTTTTTAAATTAAATAAATTAAAATACATATATAAAAAATGTATTGCGTTAAATGTAAAAACAAAACAGATACACTCAACTTACAACATGCTGTGAGTAAAAACAAAAGAAATATGCAATGTGGAAATTGTGCAATCTGTGGAACAAGAAAATGTCAATTTACAAAAGGAGCACAAAAAGGAGGTGATTTGGTAGAATCACTTAATAAATTCACAAGTAATAAAAAATTACCTTTGCAAAAGTTTCCAGGTGAAATGCATATACCAGGTATGAACTTTGCAGGACCTGGTACAAATTTAGATGAAAGATTAACTTCAACTGAGATGCCTAAAGAA